TAGGGCCTCCCGCAGCGTCTCTGGTCTTGGGCACTGACCACCTGTTCATAGTAGTTAAATTGGACAGAAGTGACTAAAGAAAAAAACAAAACAAAACTTGGATCCTGGCCTAATATCAGGCAGGCCCAGAAAGGAAGACTTGAGCGAGATTATGTCTACAATGTTCATTGCTCTTCCAAATACAGATTTTATAGATTGCAGTAGAGTTTCAGGTAGAAAGGCATCTGTCTTCAGAAATGGGATTACATAATCATTTCTGAGCTGAAGCAAGGCTGTCCTTAAAAATACTTTCATACCCTTTCTACGTGTGTATGTCCAGCCCTTGCATCATTTCTCGTCTGTTCCAGGCTCTGTAACGCATGAACTGGATGTGGATACCCAGTGGTGGTTTTCCTTAACTTAGATACTGACTTACAGCTAGCTTCAGCTCCAGCATATATACTAATGCCTCCTGATCTTTTAAAAAAAACTATCCTAAACCTTCATGTCCACCTTCCTACTTGACATCTTGCATATCAAAACAGAACATCCCATTCAGCATGTATAAACTCAAGATTTTGATTTCAACTCCCAGGCACCTGATCATTTATCGTTTCCTATCTTAATGAATAGCGCCACCATCCATGCAGCCGTGTAAACCAGAGCCCTAAGAACGGTCCCTGACTCAGGACCAATATCTATCTTCTAACATTTTCCAAATCCATTCAATTCTCACCATCTCCACGGCCACCACTCTTGTATGCCAACTGCAGTAGCCTCCTAGCTAATTTCCCTGCAACCATTCTTGCCCTCCTCCATTCAGCTCACCACACTGATGTTTTCAAAATGCAAATATTGGCCATGCCACTGCGCTGATTTAAATTAACCAATATTTTCCTATTGTCTTAGGATAAAGACCAAAATACTTAGCGCAACCTACAAGGCCCCGCACCATATGACCAGTGTTCTCCAGCCACATTTCTACCTTCTTCTTAATACTTGTTTTGCTCCATATACACTGGTCCTTTTTAATTTCATCAATAATATTACATAAATTCATGCCTCAGATCCTTTAAAAAAATTTTTTTTCCTTTTAATTCTCACCGGAGGATATTTTTCCATTGCTTTTCAGAAAGAGTGGGGGGGGAGGGGGAGAGAGGGAGAAGGAAACATTGATGTGAGAGAGCCATCAATTGGTGGCCTCCTGAACTTGCTTGAACCAGGGCCAGGGATCGNGCCCAGAAAGGAAGACTTGAGCGAGATTATGTCTACAATGTTCATTGCTCTTCCAAATACAGATTTTATAGATTGCAGTAGAGTTTCAGGTAGAAAGGCATCTGTCTTCAGAAATGGGATTACATAATCATTTCTGAGCTGAAGCAAGGCTGTCCTTAAAAATACTTTCATACCCTTTCTACGTGTGTATGTCCAGCCCTTGCATCATTTCTCGTCTGTTCCAGGCTCTGTAACGCATGAACTGGATGTGGATACCCAGTGGTGGTTTTCCTTAACTTAGATACTGACTTACAGCTAGCTTCAGCTCCAGCATATATACTAATGCCTCCTGATCTTTTAAAAAAAACTATCCTAAACCTTCATGTCCACCTTCCTACTTGACATCTTGCATATCAAAACAGAACATCCCATTCAGCATGTATAAACTCAAGATTTTGATTTCAACTCCCAGGCACCTGATCATTTATCGTTTCCTATCTTAATGAATAGCGCCACCATCCATGCAGCCGTGTAAACCAGAGCCCTAAGAACGGTCCCTGACTCAGGACCAATATCTATCTTCTAACATTTTCCAAATCCATTCAATTCTCACCATCTCCACGGCCACCACTCTTGTATGCCAACTGCAGTAGCCTCCTAGCTAATTTCCCTGCAACCATTCTTGCCCTCCTCCATTCAGCTCACCACACTGATGTTTTCAAAATGCAAATATTGGCCATGCCACTGCGCTGATTTAAATTAACCAATATTTTCCTATTGTCTTAGGATAAAGACCAAAATACTTAGCGCAACCTACAAGGCCCCGCACCATATGACCAGTGTTCTCCAGCCACATTTCTACCTTCTTCTTAATACTTGTTTTGCTCCATATACACTGGTCCTTTTTAATTTCATCAATAATATTACATAAATTCATGCCTCAGATCCTTTAAAAAAATTTTTTTTCCTTTTAATTCTCACCGGAGGATATTTTTCCATTGCTTTTCAGAAAGAGTGGGGGGGGAGGGGGAGAGAGGGAGAAGGAAACATTGATGTGAGAGAGCCATCAATTGGTGGCCTCCTGAACTTGCTTGAACCAGGGCCAGGGATCGAGCCTGCAACAGAGGTACGTGCCCTTGGCCGGAATCGAACCCAGGACCCTTCAGTGCGTGGGCCGACGCTCTAACCACTGAGCAAACCTGGCTAGGGCCTCAGCTCCTTTTTTGTATGCTGTTCTCTCGCCTGGAATGCTTTGTACCTGTGGGTCTCACCACTTTTTACCCCCCAAAGATTCTTTACCTTCTTAACTCCTTATCATTCAGATTTGGGGTTAAGGTGTCACTTTCTTAGGGAAACCCTCCTTGACCCCCCCCCAGACTAGGCCAGATCTATGATACATGGAGATCCCCTTAACTGTCCTTCGTGGCATTTGCCGCAGGTGAGATCGCATGGCTATGTCTGTGACTGTCTCACGTCTGTACCTATCTACCAGAAGATTGAACAAACACTCCACGAAGGCCAAGGCAATATCCACTGTGCCCGGCACCGTATCTCCAGGGTTTAGCACGTCACAGAAATACTCAATAGCTGTGGAATAACGCTGACTGAGATTTTAGACACCCTGGATCTCTGTTTAACTGGTACTTCGGAACCCAAGCCTTCACCCTATTTGATCAGCCGCCTCTAATTTAATACAGCTTCGAGGGAAGACCCTTCACTACCTGACATTTTAGAGTCTTTAAAATTGTTTACTCTTAAGCTGCTCCAGTTGTCATTTTCTCTGGGTCTATTCCCTCCGGGTTTCCAAAGTATAATCCACTCCATTTAACCCTCTATTCCGGCAAAGCCCTGGATCAGTTGATGTGACACCCAGCCCTAGAAAGCATTGTATAGTCAGATGGCAAGCACAACCCTCGGCTCTCAGACGGCGCTGCGGCGTCTTTGAGCTGTGGAGACGACTGCCTGGGATGACATAAGGCTGTTTCCAGGTGTGGCCGGCCACCCTGACTCCAAGGACCAGCCTCCATGGGGGGAAAGAAGTTTCAGGCGGAACCTCAGCATCTAATACTTACCTTAAATGGGCATTTTAAGGCCATGTAATAATCAGGGGAGGCTGCCACAGTCCTTTGAAAACCACTGTCTCAGGCGATATCAAAGAGTGCCATATCTCAGCTGCCACTCTCTAACACACAACTTAATGTCTTCATAACACTTGTACGTAGATTGCATCTCCCGGTGCAGATGCTGTGCACAAAAAGTTTAGTATCTATGTCTATACTGATAGCAAGTTTTACTGTCCGGAACTAGAGTAACCTTCTTAACTAATTACTACTAAGAATGTGTCAACATTCAGGTGAAATCCTAAACCATTGTTTCCGGCACTTATCTTTCAAAACTCAGCTATTCAGTTCAAAATTGCTTCTAGCAGCGTAGAACTCATTTGTTTTGCTTTCATACTCAGGATGGGGAACATTTTGCAACTTATGTATCATAGTAAAACAGTAGGAAACTTGTGCACTGTATCAAATTTCACATTTTCTTCATGAAAAGCGCCTATTAGCTATTGTTTTGATAATTTTTCGAGGCCAACTGCGACTATGCCCTGCTTTGTTAGAGCTTAGG